TTTTTTTTTTTTTTTTTTTTTGGTGTGTGTGTGTGTGTGTATGCTTTTTGTTTTCATGAGAGAAGGTTTTGCTATGTAGCTCAGCCTCAAAACTCAGTGATTCCCCCTGCCTCAGCCTCCTAAGTGCTGGGACTACATCCAGCAGAGTTGAGGTTTTTGTTTGTTTGATTAATTGATTGATTTTGAGTTTTTTAGATGTCTTAACATGTAGTTCAGGTTGGCGTGGAACTCACAGTGATCCTCTTGTCTCAGCCTCTTGAGCACTGGGATTAGAGGCGTGTACCACCATGCTCAGCTGAGTGGGGTTTTTTTTGAAGGGCTGCTGCCATAATCACTTCTGGGAATAAGACTTCAAGTTTCAATCCTGCTGGAGCAGATACTGTGACTTTTCAGTTGTAACAGTAAAAATGGGATCATGACAGGGTGTTTGGGGAACTAAAATATGACAGAATCAGGATGGGTTGGTAAGGGGTGGAAGGCACCTGACTATGGCCACTCATGGGCCTGACACACCCACTCCTTTTTTAAATAGGACAATCTGAAGGCAATTTCACGATCCTTCAGTGTCTGCATCCCTAGACTCTGTGGTGATGGGAGTAAAGAACAATGGTAATTGATGGGTTGGTGTGAAGAAATGAAGTGTAAGAGGTAAAAAGTGCTTATTCTAGCTGGGCATGGTGGCACACATCTGTAATCCCAGCACTTTGAGAAGCTGAGGCAAGAGGATTGGAAGTTTGAGCCCAGCCTGGACAACTTAGCAAGACCCTGTCTTAAAATAAGAAACAGGTGTGAGCCGGGCATGGTGGTGCACACCTGTAATCCCAGCACTCAGGTAGGCTGAGGCAGGAGGATCACTGAATTCGAGACCAGCCTGGGCTACATAGTGAGTTCCAGGTCAGTCTCAACTACATAGTAAGACCCTGTCTCAAACAAAACAAAACAAAACAAAACAAAACAAAACAAAACAAAAAACAGGTGTGAGGATGTGGCCTAGTGAGAAGGCTCTGGCTTTGATTCTCAATATGGGGTGTGGGGTTTGTGTGTGTGTGTGTGTGTGTGTGTGTGTGTGTGTGTGTGTGTGTGTTGGTGTTCCAGCAGTTGCTGGGGAACACCTAGCACCCCATCTCTCCCAAAGTTCCAAATCAAGTTTCTTTGCCAGATAACCAATGAGAGTGGCTCAAGACTTTAAGTAACAATAAAAAAGGATCAATTAAAGTTTATGCGCTTTGGGCCACGCAGGTTGGAGAGGGTGGTACTACCACCAACGACCATAAGGGGGCAGCAGGGAACAGCAAGGAGAAACAAGCCTGGCAGTCGTCAGATCCAGACTGGTAGGGGTGGGCAGATCTGGGGATTAAGTTATGGAAGGAAGTGGGGGCCCTACATTGTGCAGCATGGTCTCATTTGCCAGTTGGCGTATGTTACTGCAGACTAATCCTCTGTGAGTACTGCTTTCATTACCAGGTGTTTATGGAGAGTTTCCTTTTTTTTTTTTTTTTTT